GTTGTACTAAGCTCCTTCCTGGTTTACAGAATTTGGGCAATGGAATCTATTGTGCTGAGAACCTTTATTGTAGATATGAAGAACTACCAAGCTTCCTAATGCTTCCTTTTTTTCAGGAACTTGAAGTATACATTCACTTAAACTGTTAAGTGGCAAAGCTGTGAACTAATTCCGGTTTGTATGTCTTACGTTCTGGTTGCATAGACAATTGATTATGAAGGTTCAGGATTGCCATGAAACCCTTTCTGTGCTGCTCTGTAATAAAACTGTTAGAAAAAAGTGACACTATTTGCCTCAGGAACCACTTTCTTATTATATTTATATTAATAGTCAATGGTTTTGACCACATACTGTTTTAACGCTAAACAAAATTTATGAATGAACAATTGTAATGTTTGGTTATTGTTTCTATTTTGTGTGTTTATGAGATGATTTACCTAAACATGAGATATTTGCACTTTGCTGAACAGTAACTTACTCAGCCCTAATAGAAGGCCTGTTGATCACCTATGCCATGGGTAGGCAACCTCGGCTCTTTTATGACTCATGGACTTCAACTCCCAGAATTCCTGAATCAGCTATGCTGACTCAGGAATTCTGGGAGTTGAAGTCCATGAATCATAAAAAAGCCGAGGTTGCCTACCCCTGACCTACAGTATGCCCACTTTCCTTTTCAAAACCAGTCATTTCGCCAACTTCAGACTCCATTTTTTAAAAATGTTTTTCAAACTATCTTGGGTTTTAACAAAACTTCTGTAGTCTGCCAAAATTTGTTTATATACACTGTACTGTAATAGATTTCATGACAAGAAAAAAGTCATATAATCGTTTAGGATATTATTATTTATAACTGAACAGAGTCCATAATTTCTGGGTTGTTAACATGACACCCAAATAATAGCCTGTTAAGATTCATAATCAGAGTTAATGAAAGGCATACGTTTGCTTCAGAAAGCTGTCTTCAGAGTATGCTGTGCAAATTTAGTCATGTGACTTATAAACTAAATTAAAATCAAAATCTTTGATTTTGGTTTAGCATATTGTGTGAACTTAATAAAGTGTTTTTTAAAATAAATAATGCTTAAGCAAATCATACATGTAAAGGTCATGATTTAATATATGAATTCAGATGAAAAAGAAAACGTACTTTCTGCCTACTTGCCTATGGAAGTTAGCTTTATTTCAAATTCTTGGTGGTTTCTCCTAGTGATTTCAGGTAAGCAGGAATCCACTAAAATGCACATAATTTCTTGCAAACATCTCTGGATTATTGCTAGCATTAATGTTTTATGTGTATTATTTAACATATCAATGTAGCCTATTAACAATCAGTTGCTGGGGAATATTGTTGATTTTCTTGGTTCATGATTATTATGCTGAATGAGATCACAATGAGATTGAAATATACAGTATTCTTCACTTTTGTCATGCAGGAACTGAGATAATCAGTAAAAAATAGAATGTGCTGTATCTTGTTAAAAATGAATGTGAAAAATACAATTAAGTGTATGCTGTATTTATATGAAAATGAGTCAATTATAGAACTACACATATTAAATGAGCACCTATTGACAGTGGTTAAACCTTGTAGAAGTCTCTCTCTAAATGTCCAATACAATTTATCCTATGCCATAATCAATAACTGACCTGATGTTTTTCATTTTCCAGGATTCAGAGCTTATAATTAGGATGGGTATGGCTGATGGGTCAAGCCACAGCATGTTTGTATGTTTACTGAAAATAATCCAAGAGATGTCGTTATAATACTCTATATATCTTGCACATGATATGGCTGGAACTATGTATGTGTATTGTAAAGGAATACATATTGTAAATATATACATATTGCCTTTGGTTCCTGCCCCCTTGTTTATTTAATAGCATGTACGGGCTGGGTCTGCATATACATTGCACTTTTATTTATTTATTTTCCAATATTTGTCTCTTGTAATAAAATGCTTTTGTGTACTATTTATTCAATCTTGTATTTGCTAACATTTTGCTGTCTTATCTGAAAATGTTAACCTGTTGCCTGACACATACAATCATTCTCATGTCTACTTAAAAGTAATTTGTGCAGAATTCACTAGGAGTTGATTCAGATAAATATATAAGAATTGCAGGGTAAAAAAATTCCTACTGGAGTACAAGTAGTCCTCGAGTTACAACAGTTTGTTTAGTGACTGTTCCAAGTTACAATGGCACTGAAAAAAAGTGTCTTGTGACCATTTTTCACACCTATGACTGTTGAACATTTCCATGGTTATGTGATCAAAATTCAGGCGTTTGGCAACTGACTCATATTTATGATGATTGCGGTGTGCCGGGGTCACGTGATCAACTTTTGTGACCTGACAAGCAAAGTCAATGGAGAACCCAGATTCACTTAACAACTGTGTTACTAACTTAACAATTGCAATGATTCAGTTAACAATTGCGGCCAGAAAGGTCATAAAATGGGACAACTCACTTAACTGTCTCGCTGAGCAACAGAAATTTTGGACTCAATTGTGATCATAAGTTAAGGACTACCTGTATTAGGGACCCAGTGCTGTTTCTACAGATGCCTTGTTTGCTGCTTTCTTGTTTATCTGACAGAGATATGGATACATGCTGCATGGAACAGATGTTTTGCTGCAAACTTTTGTTTCACAAATTATAAAAGACTTCCTAACATATTTTTTCTTTATCACAAGGGAATTCAGAGAAGGGGCTGCTTCCTTTGTCATAATTCTCATGGTCATCACACTACACTGGATTTTGGAAGCTGGAACATTTGGACAGGAACGGTTTTTTTATCCCATAACTTAGTTCTATAATTAAGAAATGTCTCTTTTTGTTTAGTATTCTAATCTAAATAAATGTATGTAACAGTGAAATGTTAGGGAAAACAGCTAAAAGCTAGGAACAGCTAAAAGCATTCATTCACTGTTAATGCATCAGAAAGAATAGTGTATCACAGAAGAGAGGCCAAGCCAGAGAATTACAATAACAAATAAGTTTAATAGATTCTCATTATTGTTTTACTTTCAATAGTGATTAGAGCGTGATTTATACATAACCAAAACGTAAGTCAATATATGGTTTGTCTAATTGGTTTACTTACTTCCAGGGAGTAAGCCATGGTTTATTTTTTGAAAAACCTTAATTTAAAGTTTTGAAGTTGGTTACAAAATCCTAGCTGCTTCAACTATGGCTTACATTTATGTTCAAATTCAGAAACACTACTATAGTATTATTAGAAAATTGTTTTCTAGATATTAACAAAGTCAGAAGAAAACCAAATCAGAAATTGGCCAAATGAGCCATGATAATTTGCTTGCAAACATTTGTTCAAACAGCTAAAACTAACTTTAGTTTTGTATTATACATGCAGAGTTTATATTTCTGCAGCAATGGTACAGTAATAATATTTTATCATTAGTTACTGAAGACTATGAAACACATTTTGATTGAAAAAGAAACTCTAGAGAGGGAAGAAAAAGTCCTTAAAGAACTTAGAAAAAAATTAGAGATTCAAAAGATTTTACTAATCATCAAAATGGGATAGAGATACCAAGGTTAAGATCATACCAGACTATGCAAATATTTCTTTTCTTGGTAGACACAAAATAGGTCAGAAATTGGTTTTATTTGGAAACAAGCACTATCTGTTTTCCAATGTTGCCCCCAGTCATCATAGATACGAAAGCAGCTGTAAGAGGAAAAAAAGATGAAATAATTCAAAAGCTGAAATATTTATGTTGGTGTTTTTATTTTCGATACAAAAGTTTTCTGAATTACCGGTAACTTAAATGTACAAAAGAACATTACTTTTCCTTCAACAATCAGCACATGTTGTTAAAGACAGCCAATTTGGTCTAGTGCAGCGGTCCCCAACCTTTTGGGCACCAGGGACAGGTTCCCTAGAGAGAGGTTTTTCCATGGACCGGAGGGGGCGTAATTTTGTGTGCTGCCTGCGGATGGGGCTTCACTTGTTTGTACAGTTTCTGGCATACTGTGGACCGGTGCCGGTCCACAGACCAGGGGTTGGGGACCCATGATGGTTAAGGAACCAGGCTAGAAGCCAGGAGACTCTTAGATCTAGTCCTTCCTTAGCCATGAAAGTCAGCTGGGTGACCTTGGTCAAGTTACTCACTCTTAGCCCAACTCACTTCACAGAGTGGTCATTGGAGTATTTAATATGTTCGCTGCCTTGAGTTGTTATAAAAATAATAAAGGCAAGAAATCTGTATTCAGGCTGACAAATTTGTTTATGGGGAGAGAGGCAACTTGTTTTCAAAGCAACAAATCATTTGAATTAGCTAGCTAGTACAGTATGTATGGTATACCACAGAAGTCAATTTCTATATACTGCATATTTCTAATACACTAATGTGCAAGTAGCAGCACCAGCCTATTTTTACAGGACTTGAACAAACTAAGGAGGCTTAGATCTGGTTAATAAATAGATGAAAACCTATCTGGCAAGTGTAGGACAATAGGCTAGACTGGATAGTTTAAACAAATCCGTAGACAGTGAGAAACCAGTTCCATATTGTCACCAAGATAACAACATAGATTTGCTATTATCAGAGCCACACCATTAGCTTGAATTACAAATATACATATATGTAGGACCACACAAATAGGGATTCCTCTCCTTTGCAACCTGATTCTTCACTATGATGAAACAAAAGTTTAAATAAACTTTTTCACCAAAACATAGTGTTGGTACAAGTTTTAAATCTCTGAGTTTTCTTTCATGCGGCTGCATGAGCAATTTTAGTTCAAAAGCTAGCCCCAAGCAGATCCCCACTGATCCAGGCTAAAGCAAAACAGTGGCCATTGTACCAGCTGATTCTGCATTCTCAACTCTTGTGCAATTTTTACAGCAGGATAATGCAAGCACTCAATTGCTCAGAATTATTTAATAACTTCTAGCCTCTATGTGGATTTTCAATTTTGGAATACAGGCAGCCCTCTACTTATGAACAGTTTGCATTCCAAGGAACTATTTGTATGTCCAAGCATAAAAAGTATACAATTTTTATTTTACCCATTACACAAAGGAAGAACACTGCAAACTAAACCAAGAGATAAGTGAACAGACAGGACAGGGTAGCATCCAAAAGCTTAGCCTCCCAATGTGTGATGGTGCTGCCAAGCACATGTATGTAGCATGCAGTAAACTAGCCCTTTCCCATCTTCTGCTTTCCAGGACCTTCTGGGTTGGAGTTGCAGAAGCTTTGTTCATATGGGTGAAAATTTGTAACTTGAATTTTTATAAGTAGCACATTTTGTTTTTCCTCTTCTTTACATTCCTCAGGTATTACTCAATCCCCTCCTCCCCACTACACTTAGTTCATAGGGCTCTGCCTCTGGAAGAACTACAAATTTGGTGGGGTTTTTTTTTTTCCAAAAAACTCTTCATTCTTCAATCACCATTCTTTTTTCTTTGGCGATATCTTCCTATATACTTTCTCAGTTTCTTGGCCTCTTTTTTCTCTCACACTTACAGAGTT